AATTCCAAGCTAACATATTTGTTAATACCCATTGCTATCATCTTACTTCTTCACTGTGCCTTTTAGTGACATCATGCCAGGGCATTTATAGATTGAACTAGATTTATAGATTGAACTAGAAACAACAGCAAATAACTTGCCAAAATCAAAGTTACTCAATAACTAAATGTAGCAGGAGAGCGGTCATAGATGATATGTCACCAAATGTGTGGCTGCATTGCAATAAAACTTTATTTACAAACACAGGTGGTAAGGGCCACTCAGTTGGTTAAGCATCTGACTCTTGATCTCAACTCAGGTCTTGGTCTTAGGGTTGTGAGTTCAGGCCCCGCACTGAATGCACAAACAAAACAAAACAAAACAAAACAAAACAAAACAAAACCCAAAAGAACCAAACAGGTGGTGGGCCAGGGATAGCCTGGAGCTATTGTTCCCCCACTCCTGCTCTGTATGATGCCTTTCAAAGCACTCCAGACCGACACACAGAGATAACCAGAAAAATCATTATAATTCTCTCCTTTGTACTTCTTTGTATTTCCCCAGTTCCCTAATGTGTACTGTTACTTTTATGCATTACTTTTATATGTGTGCACTGATTTATTTTCACAGGTCCCTTTATTTCCTGGAATGAGGACTATTCCATAACACATGTACATAGTTCCAGATTGAAAAGACACAAAGACCGTATTGTGAAAAGTCTCCTTTCCACCTCTGTTCCAAGCCACCTATGTCTCTTCCCACAAGCGAGCAGTGTTATTCCATTCTTTGTGTTCCCAGAGACATGTTACCACATGCAGTCAAGTTAGCTGGGCCACCATGGTGCTCACCTCCAAGAGACACCATTTATATTGAGCTCCTGGGATGCCACTGGCATAGAATACAATGGAATTGTGCCCCCTGGAGTTGTGTCATGCAGTGGCCTGACCAAAGATGTTTATTGTGTATATGTGTGTGTAAATATACACTTACACATACATGTAGATATATATGAGCATGTGTCTACTCCTCCCTTTTAAAACCAAGGATAGCATATTATGTGCATACTGCTCTACCTTGCCTTTTATTTCTATTTAATAGACCTTGATACTTATTTCTTACCAGTTTGTAAATGTCCTCAATTCTTTTTGATGGTGGTGATGCCGACAAGGAGGGTGGTAGTGGTGGTCACTTATGGAGTTTTGTGTGTGTGCTGGGCATTATCCCAAGTACTCTGCATGTATCACTCCTATAGCGTTCACACCAAGCCCAGGACATAGGCATAGAGGGCTTGTGACCCAAAGTCACAGCTGATATGTCCTCACCCTCTGAGGTTAAAAAAGAATTCTCCCCTGATTCCTTCTAGTTTTGGTATGGGGTTGTGTTTCACATTTACATTTCTTTTCCGTTTGGAGTTCTTCCTGGTATAAGGATGAGATCAGGAGCCAGCTCCATTTTCCCCTGATGGCTCCAGTTCTTCCCAGCACGGTTTCCCTGCTGTTTCCAGATGCCACCTTTCCAACACATGAAAGTCTTGAATGATGTGGGCCTATTTCTGGACTTTCTATCTGTTCCATTGTGTGTCTGTGTAGTCAAGTGCCAGCGCCATGCTGTTTTAATTCTTGAGGTTTTATTTATTTATTTGAGAGAGAGAGAATGAGAGAGAGCACATGAGAGTGGGGAGGGTCAGAGGGAGAAGCAGACTCCCTGCTGAGCAGGGAGCCCGATGCGGGGCTCGATCCCGGGACTCCAGGATCATGACCTGAGCTGAAGGCAGTCGCTTAACCAACTGAGCCACCCAGGTGCCCCTTAATTCTTGAGGTTTTATAATTTGTGTTACTATCTCGTAGGATTTTATCTTCCTATTACTTTCCTTTCTCAGAGCTAAACTGGATATTCTTGACTTCCTAATTTTTCCACATTCATTTTTTTTGTTGTTGTGGTAAAATAGACATGACACAAAGTGTACCATTTAACCATTTTTAAGTGTACAACTCAGTGATGTTAAATATATTCACATTATTGTGCTATCATCATTATTATTTCCGGAACTTATTTTTAATCCATTTCCAGAACTTTCTAATCATCCCACACTGAAACTCTGTACCCATTTAACAATAACTCCTGTTCACCCCACCCCTCAGACCTTGGCAACACCCATTCTACTTTGTGTCCTATGAATCTGACTATTCTAAGTAGCTCCTATCAGTGGACTTATGCCGTATTTGTCCTTTTGTGTCTGGCTTCTTCCACTTCGCATAATGTCCTCAAGGTTCATCCACACTGTAGTCTGTGTCACTTCTTCATTGCTTTTCATAGACGCATAATATTCCATTGGATGTATGTGCCCCATTTTGTGTATCCATGCATCTGTTGATGGACACGGGGTTGTCTCCACCCTTGGGCTGTTGTGGATAGTGCTGCTGTGAGCATGGGTGTGCTCCACGTTGATTTCTAGAATCAGTTTGTTCAGCCCATCCTTCTGTTGCTTTTATAATTTCTCGCTACCCCAAATCCCCTCATACACACAGTTTCCAACAGTCACTTATACTTCGTTCAATCACAACATGTCCCAGATGTGTTTTTGGACTCCTCTTCCATCACTGCAGGGTGGATGGCTTGTGCTTCTGCTTGCCCAGCATCCCCCCTTTCCTCTTCTCCGGAAAGCTGTGAAACTGCTCTTCACTCTTCTCTGCTCTGAGTCCAAGACTCCAGCTCCTGGCTTCTGGGATCTGTTCTGAGGGACTTCACTGGAACTTTTGGTAATAAATTGCTCTTCTTGCACTTCTTGTAGACCCCACCCTCCTCCAGCCTAATAATGTAGCTCCTGGGCATTCCCAAACATACCCTGGCTTTCCTGCCTCTGGAAAGCCCTTCTGGCTAGCCACCTCCAGTGCTGGCCCCTCTTGGAAGCCTTTTTGCTTCTCCCTTTTCTGTAACTTTGGGGTTGCTGGCCTCCTTCCCTTGCCACTTACACCTTCCATCTTGTCAAGGAGCCACTGCTTGGGCACCGTCCCTGCCTCTCACCCCTCCATCACCCACTGCAGGTGGCACAATGTTTTTTGCATAGTAGCTGCTGATTTGAATTGTGTTAAACCAAGATCATCTTCCTCTGCATGCTTGGGTTCAAGTAAAGCACCCAAAGCCCTCCTATGCCAGGCACAGGACCTCAGGGAATTGCTCCTGACATCATCCTGTTGGGGACCTATGATATCTGGGCATAGCCTACTTCCCCTTAAGGTCCAGCTGTCCAGGTCCTGATCCTGGTCCCCTGCCCGGTCCTATGTGTCCTGGGTCCCTGTGCCTGAGTCACCACCTTCCCAGGTCAACTCTGTGATGGGTTCTGAACAGCAGGAGGCAGGTGGGCTGCGAATATGATCCAATTCATGCCTGGCTCACTGCGTGGTGGGCTCTCCGCCCTTCAGGCCATGGTTCTCAACCTGAAAAGTCCTCTGCAGCCTGATTTTTTGTGAATGTGTGTATGTTTGTGTGTTTCATTACATTTCGCCTGCATCTTAACTGCTTCTTTCTCTTTATTTCTGAACATTTAAAATTCACTTATTCAACAAATGTTTACTGGGTACTTCTTCTGTGCTGGGCATGTGCAGTGAATGAGACAGACAGGGTTTCTACCCTCATAGATGGGGGGAAGGAGCCAGCAATTAGCAAGGAATCAGAAATTAGCACAATAATTTCAAAGAGTGAGAAGGGCAAAGAAGAGAAACTAGGATAACGTGCTAGAAAAGGATTTGGGGATGCTGGAGAACATTTTGGATTTGGGTGTTTCTTCTTCCCTTTTGAGATCCAGCTTCCATGCTGTTAGGAAGCCCATGCTGCCACATGGAAAGATGGAAATAGAGGCTAATTGAGGCTCTCAGCTGGGCTCCCAGCAGGAAATAAATACGTCAATGAACTAGAAAGCAATGGATGAGGAGGTGACTTTAGAGAGGTTGAACAGAAAAGGCATTTGCGAGGAGGTGGTATTTGAACTAAGATTTGGAAAGTAATAGGGATATGTCCATTCAGTGAGTGGAGAAAGAACATTCCAAGCAGGATGAACAGCATATGCAAAGGGCCTCAGGAGCAAAAGTCATTCATTTTGTTTGAGAAATGGTAGGGGATGATGGCATGATATAGATTGGAAAAGCAGGCCAGAATCAGATCACATAGGGTTTTTTAGGCCATACAAAGGGGTTGGGTGCAGTGGGAAGCCACTGGAGGGATCGGATTTGCATCCTATAGAGACCTCTCTAGCTACTCCAAGGGAAGTCCCAGAGGGTAAGATTGAGGTAGAACTCATCTATAAGGTGGATTCCCTTTGCAAAAATTTAGCCTGTGAAAGAAGCCAACATAGAAAAAGATACATTGGACATGATACAGATGGGGAAACTCAAGTCCAGAGAAGTCAAATGATGTGAGCGATTGTAGGAACAGATGCAGAAGTCCATGAAGGACTCATGATGTAGATCAAGGAGACTGGGGGATGCAAAGCAAAGGGCGCATTTACTTTAATTCCCCCAATTTTGCTTCAGTCACCAGTTTGGTAAGAAAAGAATTTCAACCATCTGTAAGTAATCCAAAAGCCTTACTAACCTGCCTACCCACCCACCAACACCACCCCTCCCAAAAAAGAGAAAAGAAAAAAAGAAGCCAACCCCAGAGCTTGTATGCCTGTATTCTCCACAATCATTTCTCTGTATTACAGCTCTTGTCATCTTGCATTATACATGAATAACTAATCAACCAAACACAAACCCACTGATGAAAAAACGCATGTTGGATCTAGAATGTGAGTAGAGTAAAGAGTAATATTAATTTCACTGGTAAATAACAAAATGGGAGCACACGTGAGGGATGTTAGGCCAAGAATTGTTTCTGAACACTTCTAGGAAAGGAAACTTCCCAAGCGACACGGGAAGAGGAAGACTAGGATCAGGTTTACCATATTGGAATGTACTGTTGCCATCTTTTCTTCTTCTCACTTTCATAAGCATAAGGAACATCATGGGTCAACCAACTGGCCATTTTTTTTTTAAAGATTTTATTTATTTATTTGAGAGAGAGAGAGAGAGAGAGAGAGAGCACAAGAGCGGGGAGCGGGAGAGGGAGAAGCAGACTCCCCGCCGAGCAGGGAGCCCGATGCGGGACTCGATTCCGGGACTCCAGGATCATGACCTGAGCCGAAGGCAGTCGCTTAACCGACTGAGCCACCCAGGCGCCCCCAACTGGCCATTTAAACCACTGTCTGCCTTACCCCGCTGAACAATTTGTGTAATAATCTTCTGCTCTTCGCTGATGAATGTATACGTGTTTCTCTTAACTCACCAGTCACTACTGAAGTAGTGACAACAAAATCTTATGCTTTTCCAACTTCCATAGTGCATAGCACCATGCTAAGTGTGCAGTAGGTGTCCAATAAATGCATCCTGCCACAAACGTCCTAAATGAAGTCCGTCTCTGCCTCCAGCATTTCCCCAAAAGGTGTTTCTTGACCACTAAGGATGAAACGCCTAACCTCCACATCCAGGGAGGTCTGGAAATATTTCAACTTTTCTCCTCTTCCTCCTGGATTTCTTGGTGGTGCCTGACAGTGTAGAGACCTTTCAACAGTCTTTCATGACTCTGAAATTTTCCAGTTCTAATCTTTCCTCACTCATGGACTCTCCTCCTCTCTGGCCTCCAGCAGTTTTTTCCCTTTGCACTTACAAGTACATATGCCCTGAAGACTTTGTTTTTCTCTCTTGTCATTCTTTCCTGATAAGATATTAATTACATCTCATTGCAAATCAGTGCATGTATCTATTATCATCTGTCATGTTATATGCAAGATGCCTGCTGATGGGCCTGTGTCTCCAACACAGACTAGACTCCAAGCTCCAGTTGGTGCTCTAGTGCCCGGCTGGGAGTTGGCCCCAAGGAGATGCTCAGTATACAAGCCCCGCTGAGCAGACTGTCCTTCAAACTATGCTTGCAGGTAGGTCGGGGGGAGAGCGGTATCCCCATTATATGGAAAGGGCACCCCATCAGGCTCAGGGAGGCTAAGTAAAAACTGAAAGCCCGATTCTCAGTCCTAGCTCCTGAGATTCTGTCTTCAATGCAATACGCATTCCGATTTCGCCAGTTGTAAAAGGACTGTCAAGCTAATCTTGGTGCTGTCTAAGTACTGGCATCCAGTCCTTTTCATGCTCTTCTGAACAGGCTCGAATTTGCCAGTGCCTCTCTTAAAATATAGCCTGCAGGACTGAGCATAAAGCTGCATGTGGCCTGACCTGCCAGCACGCACTGGGATTACGGCCTCCCTCCTTCCACACTCCGCCGTTCTATTAATAGAGCCTGAGATTGCATTAGGGTTCTCAACAACCTCCCTGCGAAGTAGGTTCACATCAAGCTTGTGATCAGCTAACCCCCCGGGTCTTCCTCGTGAACGCCTTCTGTCAAGCCAGACCTCCCCATCAGCCACTTGGGCAATTGATTTTTTGAATGTTCATGATTATCTGTGATCCAGACTAGAAGATACAAAGCCGGGGCTCGCCCTCCTCTCTTATGTGGCATCTGCTGAGTGGGTGATGGGGTCTTGGGGCCTGCTCAAACCCAGAGGCGTGGCCATCCACTGCTGGGGGGCCTCCAGCATCATCGGATCCACAGAAGCAAGAGGATGGTGACAGAATTAATTTCCTGGCTCACTTCAAATTATTCTTACGTTCATTCCTTCTCCGCTTGGGTGATGGTCCTTTCTTCATGTTGTTCTAATTCTGGGTGTTTATATGCAGAGCCTCTTCTTCCTCCCACCCATGGGCACAGCCACACTTTTGTTTCTTATGCCCTCTCCAAATGGTATTATTTTTAGCACGAGTGTCTTACTCAGCAATTTGCTGTAAAGTCTGTCCTCTATTGTCCTCACTCCTGATCTTTTCTCTGATTCCTTTCTTCCCTCTGTCACTGTGTGTCCATACCACGGGTAGCTACATAGATGTGATTTCGGCCTATTTGAACCCCCTTTGGAGGTTACAGTGCTTTCTCCCTTTCCTACCCTTCCCTTCATTTGTTTTTCAGCCACTTGGAACTGGTAACTGTATAAATTGCAGTGCGGGGCTACCGTCGTGGGCCTCGGTTTCAACTTCCGGAAACCTCAGGATCTGTGGGGCTTGGGTCTCACAATTTGACGGCAGGGCCCGGGAGCTCTGGCATCTGGGGCCAGGAGGCGAGAGGCAGCTTCTCTCTCCTCCGCCAGCAGAGGGAACTGAAACGCAGGGGCGCAAGAAGGCGTTCCCCAGAGCCACCAGAAGAGGGCGTCATACCCACGGTCCTCCAAAGTTGGAACTCCCCACACAGAAGCAGACCCGGTCCCGTTGGCCTCCAGAAGACCCAGAGATATGACGGGATGACACTACAGCCATGCTTCCTATTGCTGTTTTGGCCACCTCTAATACTGGGTAAATGGGAAACAGCTAAGGATTTTGAAGAAGGGGACCCAACATTTGTCCAAGCTAACGGGTGGTTTTGTGGGTCGAGCTGGGAGCTGGTTGCTGGCGACCTGGCAAGCTGATGGGGCTCGGACGCTAGACGGTGAAAGCCTAGGGGAATGTTTGGAGGTCCCAGACATAACTGCGGTGTGTGTGAGGGGGCCTGGGTGGAGCGGCCCCTGCACATTTCCAGCTGTGACACCGAGGTTTCTGTTGGGCAAGGCAGAGCGCGGTGGGGATGAGGCAAGTGCCCAAATGGGTGCAGAGGTGTAAGGGAAGGTGACCGCGGCACCGAGTCAACCATTTCCAGGAGGAGTTGAAAGGCAGAGTCATTTTCTCCTGCAGGCCCCGGCACCTTTCATCAAGACCAAATTGGTAACTGATTAAAAAAAGAGAAGAAGAAATGGAAGATTATGCCCAAGAGACCAGAGGAGAAAATGGTTTCCAGGTGGAAAGGACCACCGCTCTACTAACACCACCAAGGGTTCAGGGAGCCCGCTGTTCTCTCACCCCCCTGGGCAGCGCTGGGCGCCCGCCACGTCTAGCAGGCAAAGGGCTCCCTAACTGCCAAGCAGCGGAGACGCTTAATAAAATATTTACCTACACGTATAAGAATAATGATGACTGAATGACAAATGGCAGTTAAACAGTTTTCAGCTGCAGAGGAGAGCAGCTCTGGGATATTGTCAGTGAAAACAGGAACTTTCTGTTTAATTCCAGAGGCTTCTCTCCTGTGCCTGCCACGCCCACACTCACCTAAGGGAGCCAAGGTCGGGGAGGGGGCTCACCAGCATGGCACAGGGTGTCCCCTGCAGGGAGCTACCACCCAGAGGGGCTGGAGCCAGCCTCACACCCAACCCCAAGCTACTGACCACCTCTTACAACTCCTGAAGAATAAAGATGTCCTAGCTTCTGTCCGCCACCGCACCTAGAAGGATACTCACTGCGGTCACTCCATAAAAGATGTTGACATTTATTAGGAGTCTGACTTTTTCTCACTCAGCTAAACTTGTAAGCAGCATTTGCCCTGGTTGGGTGTGATCATTTTGAGTTGGAACAAGGAACGTGGAAGGCAGAGGGGACAAAAAGGAGCAAAAGTCTTCAACCACCCCACTCAATTTCTAGCTGTGTCCTATGGGAACATGGAAAGAAAAAAAGGAAAAATTTTGGCTAAATCTGTCCCCCCTCCCCCAATTAGGGAGCTTTTTTTTGCATTTCCCTCTCCGGTCTGGGAAAGAAATAACAAAGCGAAGCAAATTTTCTCCATCGTTTAAATAGACTTTTATGTCTCTAAGTATACCAGACAATGTTGGGAGTAAATTACACATAAAGATATTTATATGTTAGATAAGTAAAGAGTGTTTGAAAAATACAGTTTCGCTTTCAGCCTCACACCCTCTGCCTTTGTTCATGTTCTTCCCAGATATTTTATATCTCCAGTTACGACTGTTAGAAAGATACCATCTTGGCTTTCCCATTTTACACAGATCTAGAAGGACCAACCAAAGAAGGGTCTGTATGCACATGCATATTTTCATTTTCTTGGAAGAAAACAAACTAGCTTTGAATTTAAGAGCACGCTCAGAAGTTGTAATTCTTGAGGAAAGAAGCTATTTATTTATTGAAGGGAAATACAAAGGGCCCATTACTTTCAGACATGAAATTTATACTTGGTGAAATTTTCATGACTAAAAACTCATTTCACTAAATAGTTTCTGGTAAAAATATGGTTTGCTTTTTTGGTGCAAAGTCTGCCATGTCTATTCTTAAGAGTAGGCTTGTAAGAGACTACGAGAGATGAAGTGAACATACTCTTTAATCAGAGAGGCACTTGGCTTGGCAGTGAAATGCAATCCTGAAAAATAAACAAAGTACCTTGTGTGAAAAAGAGCAAGTTTAAATTAATCTTGCTTTTCCAATTTGAAAACATGCTCATGGTTGTTAGCCACTGAGTCAAGACATTTAAATCATATATATACTTTTATATCTTGACAGTGACCTTTTATAAGTGTGCAATGGGGATAAGATGATGAGCAAAGCGATGCCCCAGAAAGAGCATTTTAGGTAACTGAACATGAAATGTGTTGCAATCTGATAACATTAATAATACACAATCACTACTTTATATCTAATATGCAGTTCATTTGGCCAGAGTCTAACTAAAACGCTCTATAAATGTTAGCATATGAATCCTGGTGCAAGCCTATAAAGTAAGCAGCTCTATTTTAGTGCGTTTTGAAGTATCTCTGTATTCGTTATCTATTCTGGATAACAAATTATCCCGATTTAGTAGCTTCAGACAACAAGTCTTTACTATCTCACACAGCATCTGAGGGTCAGGAATTGGGAATGGCTTAGTTGGGAGGTTCTGGCTCAAAGTCTCTCATGAAGTTGCAGTCAAGGCATAGGCCAGGGTAGCAGTCATCTGAAGGTGTGACCGGGGCTGGCGGATCTGCCTTCAATGTGTCTAGTTCACAATCCTGGCAAGATCGCATTGCCAGCAGCAAACCTCAGTTCTCCATGTGGGCCTCTCCATTGCGCTACTTAATTGTCTTCATGATATGGCAGCTGGTTTCCCCCAGAGCAAGTGATCCGAGAGAGAGCAAGGTGGAAGCCATGATGCCTTGTGTGACCTAGCCTTGGAATTCACCCACTGTTATTTCCGTCACATGCTGTTCATTAGAAACCAGTCACCAAGGATGGCAGACACTCAGGGGGAGGGGAACCAGGCTCCACTTCTTAGAGGAGTATTAAAGAAATTGTGGTTATATTTTATTTTATTTATTTATTTATTTATTTTTTATAATTTTTTTTTAAGATTTTATTTATTTATTCATGAGAGACAGAGAGGCAGAGGGAGAAGCAGGCTCCCAAGGAGCAGGGAGCCCGATGTGGGACTCGATCCCAGGACCCTGGGATCATGACCTGAGCCGAAGGCAGACGCTTAACCATCTGAGCCACCCAGGCGCCCTGTGGTTATATTTTAAAACCACCATGACCCCCTATTTACAGATGGGGCAGTTGAGATGGATGGTGGCTGATCAGCTCAAGGTCACCAAGCTGCTACTATGACCCTACGTGCCAGGTGGCAGGCTGTTTTATTTTCTCTCCGCTGTGCCAAAGCAAAACAAAGCAAAACAGAAAATGCCACATGCCTGACGTCACTGCACATAAATTCAAAAACTGTCTCTTTAAAATGGCCAAGATCGTCTAAAAGCAGTAGTGGGCTTTATGTTTGGAAGTGGATGAAAAAGACATTAGACTGGAAGGTAGGAGTCAGCATCCTCTGAATCAGCTCTGTGACTTTGTGAAGAAAACACTTCTCTCGGGGATGGTTTCCTCCTTTGTAAAACAAGATGGGTTCGCTAAATGGTTTCCAGACTTAGTTGCCCATCACAGTCCTCGGGGGAATGAAAGACTCACTGGCCTTATAATCTCCAGGAATCTTTTTTTTAAATTTCTTTTTAGAGAGAGAGAGAGAGTGCACACGCATGCACATGTGCTCATGTGCATGTGGCGGGGGGGGGGGGCAAGGACAGAGGGAAGGGGAGAGAATCTTAAGCAGGCTACATGCCCAGCACAGAGCCCAATGCGGGGCTTGATCTCATGACCCTGAGACCATGACCTGAGCCAAAATCAAGAGCTGGACGTTTAACCGACTGTGCTACCCAGGTCTCCCCAATAATCTCCAGGAATCTTTATAATTAAAAGGCCCTTGGGAGTCAGATGGACAGTTAAGCATATGCATATGCTGAGCTAGATTACTTCTCATGCTTCCCGCTCAAACATTATTTGAATGCCTCCGTCTGACTGCATGTACCCAGGAAAATCAATGGTGCTCAAGCCTGCAATCATCAGGGAAATGTCAGAAAAATATGATGCCTGGGGCCCCTCCCCAGGCAAAATAAATCCGACATTCTGGGGTAGAGCCCAGGGATCATTATGGCTTGCTCGTTTTCATCAGTATGTTTTAAATAATTGTGTTTAGCCTTGGTTGCACATTAGAATCACTTGGGAAGTTTTAAAAAAGACCCCTGCCCAGGTGGTCTCCCAACCAATTAAATCAGAATCTTGTGGATGGAGCCAAGCATCTGTGCTTTTTCAAGTTTCCAGGTGATTAGAATGGATAGCTGCACTGACCTATGTTTGCCTCATTTGAGATAATGCCAATGCCACCTCACCCATAAAAAATTGTTCACAAGTTCAACTATACTTCAATTTAAAATAAAAATTTAAAAAAAGATTATTCAGAAGAGAAATTACTCAGAAATCTTAGGTGCCACAGTACTCTAAGAAAAAATGCATTTGCAATGGAAGACATTAAACATTTGAAATGGAAGTGAATTCCATTTCTGGCAATATGGCAGATGAAATAATTTTTTTTTTAAAGATTTTATTTATTTATTTGAGAGGGAGAGAACGAGAGAGAGCATGAGAGGGAAGAGGGCAGAGGGAGAAGCAGACACCCTGCCGAGCAGGGAGCCCGATGTGGGACTCGATCCCGGGACTCCAGGATCATGACCTGAGCCGAAGGCAGTCGCTTAAACAACTGAGCCACCCAGGCGCCCAGATGAAATAATTTTAATCATCCTCCCACTATAGCCCATCTCTAAACACTGGTCAAAATGCAATAAACACCCACTGCAATGAGCTCATGAGACAGTAAGGACAGGCCCCCGGTGCCAGAAGCAAGAGGGAAATGGCAGTTAGTATCGTGAGCAAGTAAGCGGAGATGGAGCTGGTCTTGGGCAAATCCACACAGGAAGGAGACTGTGGCTTGGGCCCATTCAAAGTGAGAAGGTGGTACTGAGATCCCCACTTTAAACTGGAACCCTCAAAAGGATGAATCGTTTTAGAAATAATTCACTGGGAAAAAAATCTCCCTGGGGGCACAGGAAGATAAGAAAATTTCACTGTCTTGTCATGACTTGAAAGTGGAGAAAGAAGTCTTCACTGAGAATTTGGGACTATAGCCCAGCCTTCATGTAAATTTGGGGCTGGAATTTACCCTATCTGTACGATCCAGGAATCAGGAACCCCAAAACTGAAAAGCAAAGATAAAGATACAGACCCTACTCCAAACAACAAAATATACATGGATGTAATCCACCATAATGAAAATGGAATAGATACAAGTGTCCCAAGAACCTCAGGAAACAGAACTATCAGACTTATAAAGTACATAAGTTTAAAATTATGAAAGACATAAAAGAACATTTGGACCACGAGAAAATAACAGTATTTTAAAAAGGTAGATTTGAAAGAGAACTAAGTAGAACCTCTGGAAATGACATATATAGCCACTGAAATGAAAAGCTCAGTGGGTGAGTTACACAGCAGATGAACCATCGCTGAAGAAAAAAACTGAAGAAATTGCCCAGGAAGCATCACAGAGAGACGAAGTGAAGGAAAGTCTGAGAGAAAGGTTCAGGGTATGTTGCCTAGAAAGAGATGGTCCATTATATACCTAGTACAGGTACCAGAAGGAGAACAGAGAAAGAATGTAGGGGACGCAGGATTTATACAGTGACCGTTTGCAAATTTGATAAGAAAACATCAACCCTGGGGCGCCTGGGTGGCTCAGATGGTTAAGCGTCTGCCTTCGGCTCAGGTCGTGATCACAGGGTCCTGGGATCCAGCCCCACATCGGGCTCCCTGCTTCGTGGAGAGCCAGCTTCTCCCTCTCCCTGTCCCTCTCGCCCTGCTTGTGTTCCCTCTCTCGCTGTGTCTCTCTCTGTCAAATAAATAAAATATTAAAAAAAAAAAAAAAAAGAAAACATCAACCCTGAGATTTTGGATGTACAATGAATCTTGAACCAGGTAAATAAAAAGAAATTCGCATCTGAACACGGCATGGTAAGACCGCAGGGAGCCAAAGACAAAGAGAAAATCTTAAAACCAGAAAGAAAAGCCAGATTCCCTACAAAGGAATGACAGCAAACGTCTCAACAATAGAGAAACAACAAAATGTGTCTTGAGGGTAAACTAAACTTTCAGTCTAGATTCTCTCCCCAGAGAAATCATCATTCAAGGATGAGAGTGCAGTCAAACAATTTTATATTAATGGAGAAAGCAGGTCACTCACATAACCTCCCTGAAAATGATACTAAAGGGTATGTTTCAAGGAAAAGGGCTGGTAATTAGAAAAAAGGAATGGTAGGCCAGAAACAAAGGTGAAGAAATGGGTAAACATGGGCAAATCTACACAAGAACTGCATAAAACTAAAGTGACAACAGTGATTAAATTCAGGGGTATTAAAAGCAGGTGGGGTCTCAAATAACAAGCAACAGTAACACGTACGAGGAAGGATATAATTGAAGTAGAATCATTCTTACCTTATTGTATAGTTGTAGTGGGGTTGGATCAAGTGCATATGTTGAAAATTCTAAAATAACCACTAAAAGAATAGAAATAGAATTTACAATTCTAAATTAAGAGGAAAGGGAGACAAAGAATTCTTGGTCAATTTAATAGAAAAGAAGAAAAGAAGTAAACAAAAACTTAAGAGAAAGCAAATAAGCAAAAGGTGCAAAATGAGACTGAAGGCATTAATTCTAAAACATCAGTAATCAGTAGATCAATAGGTTCTCTTACATGTTGCTAGTGGGAGCACAAATTGAAACAACACTTTGGAAAACTGCTTAGCATTATCTTGTACATACCTTATGACCCAGTCATCACTCCAAAGAAAAATTCTTGCCCACAAAGCACCAGAGGACAAGAATGTTCATTATAGCGCTGCTCATAACAGCAAAAATTTGCAACAACCCAAAGTCCTGTGACAGAAAAATGGACAAAATAAACCGTGGCAGCGGTACCCAACAGAGTATTATACAGTCAGGAATAAGAATGAACTACAACCAGGGCACCTGGGTGGCTCAGCCGTTAAGCGTCTGCCTTCTGCTCAGGTCATGATCTCAGGGTCCTGGGATTGAGTCCCGCATCGGGCTCCCTGCTCAATGGGGAATCTGCTTCTCCCTCTCCCGCTGTGTGTGCATGCTTGCTCTCTCTAATAAATCTTTAAAAAAAAAAAAAGAATGAACTATAACCAGATGTAATAATCTAGCTGAATCATAATAACAGGATGTTGGGTAAAAAATATAAACCTCAGAAATTTTTCATAATAACTTAAAAAAAGTGTGATAAAAATTTGATAAAAATTTTTAAGAAGCAAAAGAATAATAAACTCAAGATTGAGATTAGTGGTTACTTCAGATGGAAGAAGATGGGGAGAAGCATATAGGTAGTTGTAAGTCATTGTTACTGCTTTTGTTCTCTAATTGAACAACAGGTTTACAGGTGTTCATAATATCAAAAAACAAAATAAAATAAGGCCATGAATATACCCAGTGATGACAGTGTGTTAATCCCAGAGATTGTGGTTAATGTATTTTTGCACCCCAAGTTTCATTAAAAACATCACATTAAATATAAATGGACAAAACTTACTAGTCAAATAAATAAGTGAACAAGATCCAGCTATATGCTGTCTATAAGAGACTCACCTAAAACTTAAAGACATAGAAAGGTTGAAAGCAAAGGATGGAAAAAGATATGCCAAGCAAATGCTAATCAGAAGTTGGAATAGTTATATATTTTTCACAGGCAAAGCAGACTTTAAAGCCAGAAGTACTAGGGTTAAAGACCATTTCTGTATAGTTGATCCTTGAACCATGCAGGGGTTAGGGACGATGACCCCCTGAGCAGTTGAAAATCTGCGTATGACTTTCAACTCCCCCAAAACTTAACCATCAATAGCCTATTGTGACTGGAAGACATAAACAGTCAATTAATACATATTTTGTATATGTATTATATACCATATTCTCACAATAAATAACATAACAATTACATATTTTGTATCTTATATGTATTATATATGGCATTTTTACAATAGATAACAAAAGTTGATTAACACATACTTTGTATGTTATATATATTATATACTGTATTCTCACAATAAAGTAAGCTAGAGAAAAGAAAATGTTATTAAGAAAATAACAAAGAAGAGAAAATATACAGTAATTTCACAGTACTGAACCATCTTTATTTTATTTTACTTATTTATTTATTTTTTAAAGATTTTATTTATTTATTTGACAGAGAGAGATAGCGAGAGCAGGAACACAAGCAGGGGGAGTGGGAGAGGGAGAAGCAGGCTTTCCGCCGAGGGGGGAGCCCGATGCAGGACCCTGGGATCATGACCTGAGCTGAAGGCAGACGCTTAACGACTGAGCCACCCAGGCACCCCTGAACCATCTTTATTGAAGAAAGTCTGTATATAAGCAGACCCGCACAGTTCAAACCTGTGTTGTTCAAGGGTCAACCATATATATTAAAGAAACAATTCACTGTGAAAACAGTATATCTAAGCTTGCATGTACCTAGTAACATAGCCTGAAAATATATAAAGCAAAAAGTAAGACAAATAAAATGTAAAAAACAGAAAAATGCACAGCCATAGTAGGAGATATTAACAGCCGTTTTTGACATGCCTTATCACATACTTTTAAAATATAGAAAAAATAAAATTTGAGAGATTTTTAGGAAAAATTGGCAAATTCAATCATATAAGGAGATTCTGATATACTACTATAAAAAGTGATAGATCAAACAGACAAAACATTAGTAAGGCTACAGAAAATCTGGGTAACATAATTAAGAAGCTTGATTTTTTTTTTTTTAAAGATTTTATTTATTTTTTAGAGCGCGAGCGAGACGGAAACAGCATGAGAGGGGAGAGGGTCAGAGGGAGAAGCAGGCTCCCCGCTGAGCCGGGAGCCCAATGTGGGACTCGATCCCAGGATCCTGGGATCATGACCTGAGCCGAAGGCAGACGCTTAACCATCTGAGCCACCCAGGCGCCCAAGAAGCTTGATTTAATAGGTCTATATAGTATGCTACACTTACCAATTAAGGCATACCCATTCTGTTTGTTTTTTTTTAAAGTAAGCTCTACGCCCAACATGGGGTTTGAACTCTCGACCCCAAGATCAAGAGTTGCATGCTCCACCAACTGAGCCAGACACATGGAATATTCTTTTCAAAGCCACATGGAATATATATAAAAATAGACCATTTGGCAAAGCAAGTCTCAACAAATAACAAGAATCTCTTTTATATAGACCACCTTCTCTGACCCTCATTCAATTACCTTAGATATAAATAACTAAAAATCAAAACAAAAAAACTTATGTTTAGAAATAAAAAGATACACATGTATTGAGCCAAAGAAGAAATCATATTTGAAATCTATTCTTTCCCTGGGATAATAATAAAAATTCTCTCTATCTTGTGGAATGTAGTTTGAGTGGTATTCAGAGTGAAATCCATAGTCTTCTATGTTACAATCAGAAAACAGAAGGCTGAAAATTAATTACTTAAGCCACCTATTAAAAAAAATGTTTAAACATCAAGAGAATAAACACAAAGAGAGCAGGAGAAAATAATACAAGATATATATTAATAGTACAATTATGTATTATATTCTTCCATGTGCTATATATTCTTAGTTATATGGTATATATGCTCTTATTCTTATATACAAGAATATAAGATATATAATAATATATAAAAATAAAAATTAACAAAACCAAAAAATAGTGTTAACCAAATTAAAACCTGATTCTTTGAAAACACTAGTAGAAAGAAGAACTATTAGTTAAATAAAGGGAGATCTCTGGCACCACTGATCCAGAAAAGAGAAAACACATATACAATAATACTAGGAATGAATAAATGAACATGATGGATAGTTTCAGCAGAGATTAAAATATATTAAGAGGAAATTATCAACAGCATTTTGTTAATACATTTGGAAACCTAGTCGCTATGAATAATTTCCTTGAAAAATATAATGTGTAAGAACTGACTCAAGAAAAATATAAAACTCAAAGAGATCCATAGCCACTAAAGAAATGGAATCAGTAGTTAAAAACCAACCTAGGAAATGTTTATCCCATACCCAGACATTTTACTGGAAAGTTCTACCAAACATTCAAGGAACACATAATTCCAATTTTATACACACTGTTCCAGAAAATGAAAAAAGAAGGAACATTTACTAGTTCATTTTATGAGGCCAGTATAACCAGACAAAGGCAATACAAAAAGGGAAAATTGCAGCCAATTTGACTTATGGACATGGATACAATAAATCCTACCATTAAATTAGATGTTGACCTTCATTCATTCATTCAACCTTTCATTTGTTCAACAAATATTTATTGAGTGTCAACCATGCACTAATAGGCACTGTGCTAATATGTGGAGGGCAGAGCTTATGGTTTGGTGGAGGAGATGAGCAACAAAGCAAATGACTGCACAGGGTAAGGTACATAGAGGACATTCTGGTAAGATAACAGTGCCTTCCAAGAGGGATTTGACCCGGTCAGAGAAAGCTTTCCAGGTACATTAATGGAGTAAGAAATGGTGTGGGAAGAATGCTTAGAAGGTTATCGCAGGGGCTCAAGTGGGAAATGTGGGATGCAGCAGCAGGAAAGATGAATTTGAGAGATACTTAGGAAGTGAAACCCACACTCCTTCATGACGGATCACACATGGGAAGATGTCAACCTGGAGAAGGGCCAAACTTGTCTCTAGGATGGCTGGGGTTCTGTTGACCCATATAGTGAAACTTAAAAGAGTTTTAGGTTCAGGGGGAAAATGCATGCGTTTTTGGACATGCATGTTGAGTTTGGGGTACCTCCAGGAAGGTGAAGTGCAGACAGTGAATAGGAAATTAACCAGAGCCTGGAGCTTTGTGGAGAGCTCAGGCCAGAGACTTTAATTTGAGTAGCATTGGCAAGTAGGTAGTATTTAAACCCACGGTTCAAAGGAGCTCATCCAGGGAGGGTGTGTAGCTGGGGAAGAGAATGAACACCAGTATTTAAAAGAAAGGCAGAGGAGGAGTCAGAGTAAAGAGACAGAGAAGAAATGGCTGGAGAGGTAGGAGGAAAACCAAAAGAATGTGGGCATCAAGGATGCCAAGGGAAGAGTGAGTTACACGAAGGGAGTGTCTAACAGTGTCATGGGCAGTAGAGAGGGTAGAAGACTGACATTGCATGCTGCTGGAATTCTGACCCGGGGCTGCATTAAGCGAGTGAGCTGGAGAAGAAATGCATAATAAATAATAAGTCATTCCAAATAACATAGTGCAATAGGGCAGCAAGAGAGAATTTTTTGGGACAATGAAACTCCTCTGCATCTCGGATTCGTTATCATGAAGACAACTCAATCCTATGCATTTGTCAAAACCATAGAATTATATAAGAAGAGTAAATATTACACCATATAAATGAAAAATCAATAAGTAAAAACAATGTAGTCATGGAAATATAAGATCAAGCTCTCTCTCCACCAGTGACTTTATAATTGCAGTGCTAGCCCCTCTTGGGGTTTTAATTCTGTTCAGGGTCAGCTTGCATAGGTCTATAACAGGGAACAAGGGCACCCCACTCTTGCCTTGTGAAGGACAGAATAAATATGCATGCAACAGAGCCAAAGGGCAACAGAGTGATGGCCAGAGCCCCTCTTAGGAGCTGACTGACTGGTGGGGGTGGGGTGTAGCCTGGTGAGCTTGGCTCCTCTGGGACCCTGATGAAAAGACCAGAGGGTTGGATCAGGAAAGGCCTTTCTACCTCTGATGGTCTGTGGTTCTAGTGCAAAACTCCCAAACAAAATCCAATTAGCTCTGTTGTCTGCATTTTGTTATTGAGAATAGTCATAATAGACAATCACCATAATAACAACGGGCTCTTCAACACACGGGGACCCCGGATGATTTTGGAAGCAACTTGGAGTGATGGGAAAATGCTTGGGTTTGTGGCTTAAAGCTCTAAAGTGCCTTCAAAAAACATCATAGTCAGTAATGATTGGTAATAAGCACAACCCGCATAGGTTTGCAACAAAAAAGAGACTTTTTGGGCGCCTGGGTGGCTCAGTTGGTTAAGCAACTGCCTTCGGCTCAGGTCATGATCCTGGAGTCCCGGGATCGAGTCCTGCATCGGGCTCCCTGCTCGGCAGGGAGTCTGCTTCTCCCTCTGACCCTCCCCCCTCTCATGCTCTATCTCATTCTCTTTCTCAAATAAATAAATAAAATCTTTAAAAAAAAAAAAAAACTTTTATACTTACTTACTTCAATCTCTCCTCTCACCCCATCAATCCTATCAGTGAGGAATTATCCCAAATGTAGGAGGCAGGGAGATTAAGAATCTGGTCATCCAAGGCTTTGGCTAGTGTTGGGATTTTCCAAATATTCCACTTTGCCACGACCCACAGTGGATTTGGTACAGTTTTGCTGTTGAATGTATTCCACTGTGTCCTAATCCTATGAAAATTAATGGAAAAGTGTTAACTGGGCATCAATTCATACTTAACATTAATCTGAGTATTTGATGAACCACAACTTTATGTTGCCCCTCATGCCATATTAACTCAATTTATTGTAATAATTTAAAACAATACGGGTAATTGTACCCTTATTGTTTTTAAGACCCCATAAATTGAATCCAGTCTGAATCTGGCCAGCCTGGAATCGGCTGGAGAAGTGTGCGATGCCTTCGGGAAGCTACGAGCATCCTCTTTTTGGGGGTTTCAGGGCGGGGAGGGATGAAACCAGTATTTATTAAGCACCTACTGTGTGCCAGGACCTGCGCAGCGCACCACACTGCTACCAAGGTGGTAGTGGGTGAGTGTGCCTGAAGCCTTCTGCTACCCTCAACCCCCTCCCCAGATCGGGGTGGGGGTCCTGGGGCTCTTTCAACCTCATGCATTTTACTATCTCGGTATAGAAATTATAAAAATATATAACGAGCCGGTTGGAGAGGGGTTTCCTGAAAACCACCACCCTCCCCAGCCATCCCAGAGATGCTTCCAGAGTATTTCTCACTACATACAAAAATTTACTTTGAACCCCAACCATTTGACCTTGACCCCTATAAAGCCCATTTTATTATATTTTTTAAACTCCGTATGATTAACGCGGAAACCCTCTCTTCGGCACTTTCTCACCACTGGATTCGCGTCAGTTTCTCAAAGTTCCAAAAAAACCTTTCCCCGGCACGGATTCATACCTCTGCCGGGGAAGGGCGGGGAGCGGCGCAAGACGTGCCGGTGTGGAGCCAGAGCCAGAGAGAACTTCCAGCGCCAAAGGAAAATAAAACTTGTGGCTGCTGTTTGTGCGGGAGGGTCTCCTCAATCCGGAAGCTCCCCGATCCTGGGGGGTCTCGGGGCCCGCCGAAGAGCGCCAGGGTTTGGGTTTGATCCCGACGTCCTTGACCTAAATTTCTGCGCGGTGGCTGGAAAAAGGGCGCAGGGCTGGGCGGGCGGCTGGTGCCATCTCCGGATCCCGGCGGCCGGGGCCGGCGAACTTGAATGGAGAGGCCGAACTAGAGGGGGTGGGGGGCGTCTTCTCCCCTGCCCGAGCGAGGAGCGGCCGCGAGCTCCCCGCGCCTCCCCCTCCCCCGATCCACCCGCCCCCCGCAGCCCATGTGATCCAGGGAAGTCGGGGTGCGCTCCCCCTCGCCCGGCCCGCCTAGAGGCGGGGCCCCCTCCGGCCGCGGGGTTCGCGCACCGCCCCCGTGGGTCCGGCCGCGGGGGGCCGAGTGTGCGCGCGCGGGCAGGCGGGGGCCGCACCGGGGTGCGTGACGTCACCGGCATTGGTTACACGACGTTCTAGAACTCCGCCCCACGTGCGCCGGGGAGGAGGGGGAGGAGGAGGAGGAGATGGGGGTGGGGAGGAGGAGGGGGAGAGGTGGGGATGGGCCGGGGGGGCGGGGACGGGGGGGTGTGCGAGCAGCGGGGCTGAGCTAAGCCGAGCCCACGTGTGACGGCTCTCGCCGCTGCCCCGGCTCCGCCGCTCGCAGAGAGATTCGGAGGAGCCCGGGCGGGGGGGGAGGAGGAGGGGGAGGAGGGAGCGGGAGATCTCGGGGCTCGGAGCCGGCCGCCGCTCCGCTCCGATCGCTGTGGGGCTCGGTTTTTTGGGGGTGGGGGGGCGGGGGGGCTCAGATATGGAGGCAAATGGGAGCCAAGGCACCTCGGGCAGCGCCAACGACTCCCAGCACGACCCCGGGTAAGTTTCCAGCCGCTGCCCACCGCGCCGCCTCGGGCTCGCTCTCCTTGCAGCGGCGGGGACGGCGGTGCGCGGAGCCGGGCATCTCCCGCGCCCCCCCGCCCCTCCCGCGCACCCCCCCCGTGGAAGTTACACACCTTTGGATTGCATTTCGCCGTCACCTTCTCCCCCACCCCACCTCCCGGCTCTCGCTCGCTCGCTCCCCCCCGCTTTCCTTTTAGCTTTTGTAAGTTACACGTCAAAATGGCCGATCTGACATCGGTGCTCACTTCTGTTATGTTTTCTCCCTCTAGTAAAATGTTTATCGGTGGACTGAGCTGGCAGACCTCACCAGGTAAGGGAGGGAGGGGGGGACGTCTGGGTCCCCCCCTTCTTGGCTTCTTTATTGCTCTTTGTTATCCCGGCGTAGGAGCCCCCCCCCGCCATTGGCTCCCCACTTCTCCTGTGCAAGGTTATTTTTTTAAATAGCAAATCCTTTCCGAGCCCTCTACGCGACCTCTGTTGCCGAATTTCCCCCGCGTGTGCAAAAAATGCAAAAACAAAACAGAATAACAACAGAAAACTACTTTTGGTTTTTGTCCTTGATCAAAATTTGCATTGCTTTTTTTTCCCCACACCTTCTCTCCCCCCCCATCTCTCTCTTTCTCTCTCTACAGATAGCCTTAGAGACTATTTTAGCAAATTTGGAGAAATTAGAGAATGTATGGTCATGAGAGATCCCACTACGAAACGCTCCAGGTAAACCATTCTCTTCTGGATTTTGTCTTTATTTTAGAACAAAGTTTAAGTGTTATTTTTGGAGGTGTCTTCGGAAGTAGCTAAGCGGATTTAGAATGGGGCTCAGGCATGTGGCTAGTTTCGAACGTCGCTCTATTCCACCCCCCCCCACGCCCGCCCCCATAACCCGAAAGGTTATTGTTAATTGGGGCTGAACTCTGGATACAGAGATGCCCATCTCTCTGCTTGAAGTCCTTTTCCCGTCGCTTCTTTTTCTCCTGTTTAAAATGACATTCAGCTTCATTCACTTTCTACATAGTTTTTTTTTTTTTTTTTTTTTTTAATGTATGCTTTCCCCATACTCCCAGCTCCCTAAACTCTTCTGCCCCTTTTAGAAAGCTGGATGAATCTCTTCTGAGCGCCGGGTTTTCTTCGGAATAAAACAAAGCGTTAAGAAAGGGAAGGGGAGGAGGAGAGGAGAAGGAGACTGAGGTGGCGAAAGAGTGGAGACACCAGCATTTTCCAAGTTACCTCCACCCGCCCTGCCCCCGTTCCACTTCCCCGGTTAACCTTGATGCGTTTTCTTGCGAGGCGGAGGGGGCTTGGGGGAGGGCTGTGGGCCGCGGGGGTGCGAGGGGGCAACTTTGGCTCTCCATTCTGCAGGAGGGCTCACTCCTTGTTGCTTTCAATGGTGTCACATTTTCTTGTTTGTTTTTCTCCCTCTTTGTCTCATTTCAGAGGCTTCGGTTTCGTCACGTTCGCAGACCCAGCAAGTGTAGATAAAGTATTAGGTCAGCCCCACCACGAGTTAGATTCCAAGACGGTAGGTTGCTTTCTGTCGTTGTTGTTGTTCGCCCCTGTTCAGGACCCATCTGGGCACTGACAGCCCCATTTAAAGGGACCGTGCTTTCTTTTGCTTCTGCTGAGAACTGGGTAGTGATAAGCAGGGCTCGAGAGTTGGCTCTGAAGTTTGATGCCATGGCTGGGTTTGGGGTTTTCTGTTTAGAGCCTGTCCCACTGCAGCTCCAGATGCTGCCCAGCGTAGGCCTGGGGGAGGGGTCTGCGCGGGGAGAGGCTATCTACGGGGCCCAGGGACCATCAAGGAAACTGCACCACAGAGCAAAGGCAACTTTTCTTTGTCAGCCGAGCACAGCCGCGTTACCAACTGTGGCTGTGGGAATTGGCTTTTAGAAGGCACAGCCCGCTTCGTGGCCAGCTGGGAGGGACTGGGGCCGGGAGGAGGGAGGAAGGCGAGGGGGCGCTAATCCCAGGTCCAGGCAACAGGTTTCTCCTGGGGCACCTCGGATTTGGAATGTGGTTTGAGAAGGGAAGGAGACCCCCCCAGAGCCACGCTGGGTGACTCCAGTGGGTGACTCCAGATGGAGTGAAATCTAACACTGATAAGGCCTTGGGTTTCCAAGTGATTTGGTTTTGCTTTTTTCCCTCAGATCCTTTATTTTTTGAGTGTGGGTACTTTTATAGCATTAGAAGGTTTCAGAGACTGGTGTGGAGAGGGGGAAAAGTCTCTAGGTAGAGATTAGAGAAGAAGGGAAGAAAGATATTTAGTACGGTCATGGGGGCGGGGGCGGACAGCTCGTAGTGTTTTATTTAGACCCCTGTGTTGGCTTTATGGCTCTCCCTTCCCTTTATGCCTGTTAGAATCTCCCTACAGTTTTTATACGTCCGCCAAAGCAGGGGCCCCGAGGTGACATTGGGATGCAGTGCTGGGCTGCTTGGGACTGTGGTAGGTGGTGGGGCAAGGCAAAGGACCAGGGTCTAGTCCCAGCTGCCCTTTATGAATTTGGGCAAGTTGTTCCCTGCCTCGGCGGGGCCTCAGTTTCCTTTTCTGTAAAATACAGGAGTGGAACAGGGTGATCTTCCAAGCCCTTTTTGGCTTTAACATTGAGGGGAAGGGAAAAAAGGGAAAGAAACCTGGCCACCTTTGGTGCACGTGAACTTATTTTGCAAATTCACCTTGTCTCTCTGATCAGAGGGCAGGTGCATGTTCACTAGCCCTCAAGAGAGGACCCCAGGCACTTTAAGTTGCTTTATCAATTGTGCTGGACTTGCCATAGCTTTTGCAGCCCAGCCTTTTTGCGCTTTTAGATAATTTAATTTTAGGGACAGTCATTTGTAGGGTGATAATGGATGTCTGAGGAATGTGTTTTTCCCCTTGACTTCTTGGTCAGCCGTTTCAAAAAGCTAGCAAAATTAAAGAGGAAAATATTTCAAGGCAAATTCAGGAATTTATTATTCACTCCGTCTCCCCACCCTGGGTAGGAGAAATAGTATGTGGTTTCTATGGTGCCTGGTGGGTCATAGTCCTCAGTATCAGGTGCAAAACGTGCTGTTTTCCCTCCCTAATTGTTTGTGGATATGTTTTGGTCACTATTATTTAGTATAACCTAGATTTTGACTTTGTTTCAACGTTCAGTGCAGGAGGCAGAAGCGGTTGGTTTATTGACATGGAAACGAGGATCTTGTTTACCGTTACCTTAAAAGCTTTGTTTAGGTAACGGCCATTCACATCCAAAATAGTACCCTAGTCTTTTCCTAGAGGATTTGTAGCTACAGTAAGTAGAGCTGTACCTAACTAACTAATGTTTTAATTTTTGGTAGTTTTCTTTTTTGTTTGTTTTTTTTTAAAAAAATAGTTGACAGGGATGTGCAAAAGGTTGGGATTTGCCATACTTACCTTGACCTGTCCTCTCCTTTGGAGATTTCAGCGTGTAAACTTTGCACACTGAAAAACGCGCCTGGTGGTCTGACACGCTGTTATCCCAAACCCACCATCCAGAAATTCTGAATTGGCTTTGAGTTTTGTAATTTTTTTTTTTTTAAAGATTTATTTATTTGACAGAGAGAAACATAGCGGGAGAGGGAACACAAGCAGGGGGAGTGGGAGAGGGAGAAGCAGGCTTCCCGCCGAGCAGGGAGCCTGATGCGGGGCTCGATCCCAGGACCCTGGGATCATAACCTGAGCCAAAGGCTAATGCTTAACGACTGAGCCACCCAGGCGCCCCGAGTTTTGTAATTTTAGATATTTTTGAGCGTTCCACTTTCTTCAGGGCTTCCTATCCCTCCCCCCCAGCTCCTGGTCTCTCTCCCGGCATGTCCCTCACCTTTTACTCCACAAACAAGGTGACTTCTTACTGCAATTGTGTGCTGGTCAGCTCAAAAGCCGTATTCTGGGGGGAGTGTTTATAAAAAGACACATCTGTCTTATGTTTGGTCAACAGAATGGAAAATCCACACCTGTTGTATCTCTCTTGTAGACAGCTCTAGTCAGTGCTGAGTACACCTGTAGATGCGGTAATGTTAATCTTGATGAGAGGTTAGTTTCCTAGATCAGAGATTTTTGTCTATTTTAGTTTTTGAAAAGTAATCCCTCATTTCTCAGGTGATGTTTAAAGGTAAAAAAACATGCTGTGGACTTGTATTAGGTCTTTAAACCACCTTAAGACAAGTGGTAAATCTTTGTCTTACCAGCTGGGGTGTCCTAAGGGATGTAGGTCTGGGCACAAGAACTCTCTGGTGTGCCTTGCCCCCCCTGCCCCCCACTCTGTGCTTCATCCCACAGCCTTACTCTTTTTGCTGCCCCACAGCAGAACTGAAAACAAGGTTCAGGTTTACATTTTAAAAGGGGAAAATTGTATTATGAAAGCCAGAGCCTATAAATAAGTGACTTGTAGCAATATTCTGTGCAGAGTTTTACCCAAAGATTTGTTAACATTTAGAAGTCTAATGAAAACCAATAATGGGGATTTTTAAAATTCTTTCCCTCCCCATATTTTCTGTCCAACAACTTCCCCCACCTCGGATCAGCCTATTAGATTCAAATACTTCCATGGGAATTGTTTTGAGTTTTAAAGCCATTCCCCTTTTGAGAATCATGTGTTCTGCTGAGTGTCTGATCTGGGGGTGGAGGATGTTTTTCCATTCTGATTGGGGTTGGGGTAGGAAGAATACCCTAATTGTTACAGTAGATTCCTATTTCTTTTTTTCAGTAATTTTTTCTTTTTTTTTTACCCTCTCCCCATGATGACCTTACTTTTGTAATTTGGGTTTAGGTTGCTAATAGATTTCTACACTCTGTGATTTTTAAAATCCGGGTAGTTTTAGTGGATGTGTTTCCTTTTATTTTATTGTAGTATTATTATTATTTTTTAAGAACTGGGTTAGGTTCCATAGCTTTTGACACCTGCTTCCTCTTGTGGTCTAACTACAGAATGAACTGTCTTTTTGGCTAACTCAGGTAACTGTACTCTTGCCAACACGAATGAATGAACTCAAGCCATAGTGTTGGATGTCCATGGGGAGTTTTTGGATGTTGATGATTTAAAAAATTTTTGGCATCCCCTTTTCCACCTGCCTTGTTTAGTTATCACTGGGGAGAAGATCTCCTATCCAGTTACCGACTGCTGAAAAATTCTTATGTTTAATTTTTCAAGTTACGATTTTTTTTTTCAGGGATGATGGTCCCATCTTTTCTCCCAGTCCTGCATTGCAAATTAGATGCAGGTACCATTCAATGTCCAGTGTCTGCAGAAGAGAAGCCCTTGCTTAGATAAGAACATGTGAAATCTGATTTATTAAGAACATCACACGTTGAAATACATGGTAGGACACTTTAGAGAGGCTCCTTTATTTGTTACATTGTGGGAGGGATGAGTAAAGTTTGGATCAAAGTTTAAGGAACTTTTGAGTTGCCTGAGAAGTTACTAAAAGCTGGGTTATAAGCCTGAGAAATGAGTGATTAATAATTAGGTGATTAATCATAATTTTTTCTCCCTCTCCAAATACTGGAATTGACTCTTTCTTTCCCATTTCCTCCCCCCCCCAGATTGACCCCAAAGTTGCATTTCCTCGTCGGGCCCAACCCAAGGTAAGTAGGAGAATCAGTAATAGGATTTTAGCACTCAGAGATGGTTGCCAAGGATTTTGAATTTCAAACAGAGTACTGGCAATCAAGTGTTGAAACCTGGTGCCTTCAGGTACCTTCACGGTATCAGCATGTGGCTGTGAGAGTCCAGGCCAGGCAAGGAGCTCTGCAAGATAATCGCGTGCGTCTGCAATTTAGCCATCCTGAGGTGGGTTCTGAGCATCCAACAGGGGGCAGGGGCAAGCCTGATCCTTCGTGGCAGGACAGAGCTCCGTCTGTTGCAATATTTATGCAAATGTTCTATTTACTTTTTAAGCGTTGCCAAGATCCTATCAGGAAAACTTGGACATTTCCTTGTGACTGTCTTTTGGAGGGTTCTCTTTTGAGGCCCTTACAACTTGGAGTTTATGGAGAGGAGTAGAATTTGAGTAAACAGCTTGTCTTTCCTTGGAGAAACGACTTTGTAGACCCATAAAGCCCTGAATCTGACAGAGGAGGCATTGGATGTCTGGGTTTCAGGTTGGTGGGATCAATCAGGGCACATTTTCAAGTGCTGGGGCCTGGGGGAGAAGCTCTGAGTCTGTTATAACCTTGGAGGAGTGGTACTACAAGATTTGCTTAGAGGGTCGAGATTGGCCTTCACTCTTTTTTTTTTTAAAGATTTTATTTATTTATTTGAGAGAGAGAGAATGAGAGACAGCACAAGAGGGAAGAGGGCAGAGGGAGAAGCAGACTCCCTGCTGAGCAGGGAGCCCGATGCGGGACTCGATCCAGGGACTCCAGGATCATGACCTGAGCCGAAGGCAGTCGCTTAACCAACTGAGCCACCCAGGCGCCCCGGCCTTCACTCTTTCACAAGTGTGTGGCTAACATAGTTTTCGCTGAGCTTGCCAGCTGTGGGGATGAGAACAGAGCTACCTGGAACCGAGGGTGAAATTTATGGGCTTAATATGTTAAAATCACACGTTTTAATTATACTTTTTTCCTCCCTGTGTAATATTGAGAGGTAGACTTTTCCTGTAGCTTGTGGCCTTGGCGTTCTTTTAGGGAAGGGGGGAAAAGGTGAAGCGTCGGATTACAGGTCATAAAGGGAAAGAGTTGTTGCTTTTGCAAATTCCATTTATTTCTTCAAGCATAGTCTCCCACAGGTGGAACCTTTTAATTGTGTAAGGGGAGGGATGAAGCACTTTAATGAAGAAAAAGTTGGCCCTTGTGGATGACATTTTGAGAATTTCAGGTCTGGAGCCTGCCATGTGATCCATCCTTCCTTCCTTTTTTTTTTTACCCCCATGTAATTTTTCTTTTCCTTTCTTTTCTTTCAAAGGAAACACAAATCTCTTAAGTAAATAGAGCAAAAATACTTTCTTAAGGCATTTTTTTTCTCCTAATGATTAAGCAAATAATAGGAATCAATGAACCGAAGAGGTTAGATTATTTCTGTACTGAACACAAACTTTCGGACTGCTAACTGTGTAAAGGTTGCTTTTCAAACTGTGTGTGATCCTTGACATTTCAGAGGCTTTCCAGAATTAGCAGTGTTTCCTGGGTTTGGAAGAATTGCTGTTTCTTCCATAAGTGTGAATCTTCAAATTTCCAGGTTAGTCATTTGATCACCCAGAACTAGGATCAGATTAACCTAGAAGGAAACTGGAAAAATCCCTGACTTGGTCAAATCATGGGTTTGACCTGTTTTCTCTTCCCTCTTGTTGCCCACCCCTCACTCCCACCACTTTTTTTTTTTTTTTTTAAACCAGGAAAGCTGTATTTCATTTTAACATACTCTGGCATTTGGTTTTTCGGTGATGCATTCAACTTGAAAACGAGATACACTATTTCTCGAACTTGTCAAAGTGTCCACCTCCCCTCCCCCACCCCCAACCTGGAGTCTGGGATGTTTTAGGTGGATTGTCAGACTTTTAGATGTGAGCAAATATTATACCAGTTGGGGGAGGACATCTTTCTGTGGAGTTCTAGAGATTGCATAACAATACCTTGCTTTTTATGGCACCCTTTCCCAAGGACTTTCCTATCTGTTATCTCCATCTGCATCTCAGGTCCCAAGACACTGAGCAAACCACCTCTCCCGGCCTGTTTGCTCTTCTGTAAAAGGTGAGTGATGGGGGTAGCTCCCTCACAAGGTTGCTGTGGAGAATGAAAGAGCCCGGCACGGGGTGAGGGCCTCATCCATCCCCATCGTCACCATTATCATTATTTTTGTTGGTTTAATCATCTTTCTTTTTGTTATCTTCAAGCGCAGCAGCTTGGGTTTGGATCCCGGCTCTGCCCCTCATTCGCTGTGTGGATGTGGGCAAATCGTTTGGTTTCTTGGAATCTCATATACTCCATCTTACTGGGTTTTTTTGCAGATTAAATAAATTAATAAAGGTAAAGTGCTTAAAAAAAAAAAAGACCTGGCGCGTGGTAATACCATATGTATTACCTGCTGTTTTTACTGTTAATTTTGTTAGGCTCTCATACCAGTCGCCAAGAGCGGTCTAGTGATCATAATGACGTTAATTGAATTTATGTGCCAGGCACTGTTGTAGGGTCCTTACGTATATCAACTCATCCAGTCTTCGCCTGTGTCCTGAGAGGTGGGCACTAGGATTATGTCCAATCTATAGATGAGAAAACCGAGGCATACATGGGCTGAGAAGTGGGGTACGGGCAGCCTAGCTCCAGAACCGGGCCCCTGCCCGGTGAGCTATCCTGTGGCGGGGATCTAGGGGTCTCACCTGTCCGTTCGGGTGGAGGACGCAGCGCAGGGTGGTGGTCAGGCTGTGAGGAGCTGAACCGTAGCCAGCGTGCGCGGACTTTGAAGGTCCCTGGTTGGGTGATTCACCCAACCCCCGTGATGTCATCCTGTGGGGTGACTCTGGCTGGCCGTGTGGAGGGGCACCCTTTCACAGGGCTCTGTGCTTTGCTCAGCTCCAGGGAAGCGGCTGGGGAATTTGCGAGGTGTGTGCTGGTTGGGAGTTGGGGCAGGATGGGGAGAAAGTGCCTTTCTTGTCAACGGTTCTTTTCTGATAGAATTTGAGCCCGGCCACGGGGATTTCAGACTGAAGTTAGTGTTGGAGGCCAAACTCTGGCTGGCAGGGAGTCTAGGAGTTTAAGTCACCCTTACTTATTTTTTGTTTATCTCCCTTCAATAAAACTTCTGTGTGTGGACATGTCGGGGTGCGAGGTGAACTGCGAGGTGCGAGGTGAACTGCGCCCCTCCTCGGGGGCTGGGTGAGGAGCTTGTCAATGATACAGCGTGGGTTTCAGTTAAAATGCATTTCTCTGCTTTCTGGCTGTCTCTCTTTGCTAGCACTCGCCAGAGAAATATTCGTGGAGGTGTTAAAACAAGACTAGTGGAAAGAAACTGTAACTTAATACGAAAGCAAAGCCGTGGCAGTGAGGAGCAGATTTCATATTAGTACTGTCATAATATTCTTTAATGTATCATATAAATAAAAATCCGTTTTGACCAGAATTTTAATGAGCGATCCGAAGGAAGGGCTTTGAATCCTGCAGTTCATTCATCCCCCTTTGCGATGTAAATGTTCACCTCTCAAGTGAAGTATAATGGGGCTTTATTAACTAGTCGAGGGGCGACTCTTTGGAGACTAGTGGCCGTTAATTAGCAAAGTACATTTTGATCAGAAGACGATGGGTCCGTTCTGTGCCTTCCTATTTCGCTGGATGATTATTTCATTTTGTAAAATATGTAAGAGTTTCTTCCCCTCTGTCTTTTAAAAAATTAAAATGGTCGTGCTATTCTAAAAAAGATGACTTAATTTGAAGCTGTTGGAGGAACGGGCATGATTGGGATCAATCATGTCATATCATTTTGTCAGTCCCTTTGGGCAGAAGCGTTGGCTGCCTGCAAGAGTTTTGCTCAAGCTCGTGGGTTCTTCTTCTCGTGTGGAAAAACCAAGAGGCTGTCGAACCTCTTAGGGGCACGGGCGAGTCTGGGTGTAACTCCCCATCTGCCCTACTTATCCTCATGTGTCATAAAGCTTTCTCTGCTCCCCAGGTTGCCATTTTCCTCCTTACGTGTCAGAGGCCAGAACCTTATCTGTTGATCCATGGAGATCTCATTTCTTCAGCCTATTTCCAGTTGCTTCACTGGCAGCTGGGTGACCATGGGCACCCCACGTGGGCCCCTCTATGCCTCAGTTTCTTCCTCTTTAAAACAGGGGTGTAGTGCCCAGCGTGGGGTGGTTTTCAGCGTGAATGCAGAGCTCTTTGCTGGGAGCCTGGCACAAGGTGGTGCCAGCAGGTGTCTGCTGGTATCATTATTACAGAATTATTTATCATTACTACCATTTTTAAGTCCTCTCCGCGCCCGACGTGGGGCCCCAACCTACAACCCCAAGATCAAGAGTCACGTGCTCTAAGCAATGGAGCCAGCCAGGCGCCCCATTATCGAATTATCTTTGTCAAATAAGAAAAGCTACAGTGGAAAATGACGCAAGAGAAATCCTGATTGGAACGTAAGCCCCCTGCCTGCTGACATCGCCGGATGCTGACTTCGGTGCTCCAGATGAATCCAGCCCACCTTTTTCAGGGCGGAGGCAGCTGACATGCGGGGAAGTTAGGTTGGCAGCGCGAGGGCACACAGCTAAGTTGTGGCAAGGTTGAGCGAAGCCAGGTTTTCCTGCTCCTGTCTCGTGCACTGATGAGGCTCTGGGGCCTGGAAGGTTCTCTGTTACGCATGCATCCGTCCAGATGGGTGCAGCACAGCACGAGCGTTTTACACAGGCACCTCCTGTTCCGGGGGAGTGGTTCCTTGGCAGCTTCTCAAGGGCGGGCGAGGGGTGAGTTCTCGGCATCTGGCCTCCCCCTGCTGCGGTGGGTCGGGTCATTCTAGCTTCGTGCCATCCCGGATGATCTGCGGCTGTCACCTCGCCGGCCACAGTTACCCAGCCTGCCGGTGGGTTTCTGGTTCCCAGCGGGGACGTGGTGGTGTGTGTGCAGCCTTGTCCACAACCTCGAGGACCCTGGGGGATTAGTGGCTT